CGTGACATTAAGTTGGAGGAAGACTCATAAATATGCAGATGACACAACCTTGCTGGCTGAAAGTGAAGAAGACTTGAAGCACTTACTGATGAAGACCAAAGACTACCGTCTCCAGTATAGATTGCACTTTGGGGGAGGAAAGAAAAAACTCCTGACAACTTGATGACTGATAAGCAGTATCATAATAAATGGAGAAAAGACTGAAGTTGTCAAGGATTTCATTTTACTTGGATCCACAATCAACACCCATAAAAGCAGCAATCAAGAAACCAACCTATTACAGTGGACAAATCTGCTAAAAAGATTTCTTTGAAGTGTTAAAAAGCAAAGAGGGCACTCTGAAGACTAAGGTGTGCCTGACCTAAGCCATGGTATTTGCATTGGCCTCATATGGTTGCAAAAGTTGGACAGTAAATAAGGAAGACTGAAGAACTGATGTCTTTAAAACATAGACTGCCAGGAAGAAAAAGAAAATCTGTCTTGTACAGCCAGAAGAATGCTCCTTAGATGCAAGGATGGCAAGAATCCATCTCACGTACTTCGAACATGTTATCAGGCAGGACCAGTGCCTGGAAAAGGATATCATGCTCAGGAGAAGGTTAGCGAGAAAGATGAAGACCCTCAACGAAAAGGGCTGACACCATGGCTGCAACAATGAACTCAGGCATAGCAAGGATCTAAGCAGGACTGAGCATTGTTTTGTTCTGCTGTGCATAGAGTCACTATGAGTCACAACCATACCAACAGCATCTTAAAATTCTATCTCAATAAAGCTTATTTTTGTTAAAGGTACCTTAAAAAGGCTAAGTAGTATAAACCCTATGATGTCACTCTGGGTATAAATGGCTACAAAAGCTGGTGTTTTATAAAAAATTACACCCCACTATCAAGTGCTTAATAAGGAATTCTAGTGGCACTGTGGTTAAGGCATCAGGCTGGTTACCTAAAGGTTGGCAGTTCTAATTGCTCAGCAGGAAAAAGATGAGGCAGTCTGCTTCCCTGAAGATTTACAGCTTTGAAAACCCTGTGGGGCAGTTCTCCATCCTACAGGGTTGCTATGAGCAGGAGTCTACTCCATGGCAGTGGGTTTTTATCAAGTGCTTATTTAATATACTACCCATTCTTTCCCAGCTCCACAGATTCACAGGGCTGCAAACACGCATGTACCAAGTTAGTATCTCTTTAACGAGTTCTCACTGAACATGAAAAAAACAAGGTACAGAACAGTAAGTTTCCTATGCTATCATTTGTGTAAATATTTTCGGAAAATAATTTTAAAAAAACTAATTTAAGGTAAAATCTCCAAATATTCTGGTTCCAATTAATTTGTGAAATGAAGTTTCAGTTCCACTAAACAAAACTTTACATCTACTAAATATCTGCCTCAAGTCATGAAACTAGCTACTATTTCCAGGCCTGCAACTCCTCAATGACAATTCACACTTACAGAGGTGTGGGTGGATGCAGGGGGGTCAGAACTGCCCTTACACAGAAAAACCCCTGTAGTTTTTTTTTTTTTTTTAATCACCAAAATTGTTAACAGCTGTTATCTCAGGTCAACTTTTAGCTTGTTCTGAGTTTCCAGAATTCCTCCACTGACCATTTTCTATTTTTAAATAAAATTAATTAAATAGTTCCTACGCTAGCTGTTCAAACCCACCAGCCACTCCTCGGAAAGAAGACTGGGCAATTTATTTCCCTAGTGATACTGCCTCTGCCTCAGAAACCCAAGGAGGGGTCGCTATGAGTCATAGTGCCTAAGGTACTTGACTGCTAACCAGAAGGCTAGCGGTTCAAAATCACCAACCATTCCTCGGAAGGAAAGTTGGGCAATCTACTTCCACAGTGATACCACCTGAGACCCAAGGAAGGGTCGCTATGAGTCGGGTCCGACTCGACGACACATCATAACAACAACAACAACAACATATGAAGAGAGCTCTGGTAGTGTAGTGCCCAAGGCACTTGACTGATAACCAGAAGGCTGGCAGTTCAAACTCACCAGCCACTCCTCAGAAGGAAGGTTGGGCAATCTACTTCTGTAGTGATACTGCCTCGGAAACCCAAGGAGGGGTCACTGTGAGTGGGATCCAACTCGATTGCAGTGGGTATATGAAAGAAACCAGACTCTAAACAACGCACAGTATATTACCTGATTCCATTCATACAATATCCTGAAGAAAGCAACTCTACAAGAACAGAAAGCATCTAGAAGCTGGGGGTGAAGGAAAATTTGACTACAAAGGGGCAATGAAGGAAATTTAGGAGATGGTGAACTCTTCTATCTTCATTGTGATCGTGGTCACACAACTGTAAGCATTTATCAAAATTCAAAGAACTGTGCAACAAAAGACAAATTTTACTGTATGTAAATTAATATCAATTAAAAAATAACAGATGATTAAATAATTTTAAATTGCTTGTGAGGTAAAGAAATTCCATTTTCAAGTGAGCAGATTCATGGGCCAAAAAATACTGAGAACCACTGAAGTACACAAACTCATTTACCACAATACAGATAAAAAATAAATAAATTCCAAACATTCAAGTGCAAATAAGTACTTTGTTGTTGTTGTTATGTGCCGTCCAGTCGACCCGACTCATAGTGACCCCTCCTTGGGTTTCCGAGGCAGTATCACTAAGGAAGTAGACTGCCTCATCTTCCTTCCGAGGAGTGGCTGGTGGGTTTGAACCGCCAGCCTTCTGGTTAGCAGTCAAGTGCCTTAGGCACTATGCTACCAGAGCGCCTAAATAGTACTTTAGTACACAAAAATGTGGCTAAGGTCCTTCTCTTTGAGTCATTCTACTCTTGGTCTCTGTCAAAAACCCACCTCACTTTGTCAAGTAAAATGGACAATGGAGCGGAAGTATGCAAAACCAAGTGGTAGATTTGCAGAGCATGGATAAAGATCAATAATAAATACTTCCAAGTTCCAGAATGCGTACACTTATCGTTAACTGACTAGATACACACACACACACACACACACACACACCCCATGAAAAGCCAAGTACAATCTCTAAACAATCTTAAGTAACTCAAATTGATGACTTTAATGAATATTATAAAATAAAAAAAGGAAGAAATGAAAAACGAACACTTTGGATAAGAGACTATCAATATAAATTAATAAAATATGTACTTGACTAAAACTGAAATGTGCTCTACCATCTACAGGCTGAAAACAATTTGTTAAAGCAAAGTAATTCGATCATTTTCTATTTTTAGGTACATGCAGAAAATAATGCATACATCTATTACACAAACACTGTAAAGTCAGACAATGATTAACTTGAAACTTTTCCATGGGGTAAAAGTGTTGATGCAAAATGATGAACCACCTTATCTATCCTTCACAGGAAAAGTATGGTGAGCTCATTCTTTGCACGTTGTGCCCCAAATGATCATATTTTCAGGTACTGAAGGAAGGCAACCACTAGGTTTTAATAAGAACATAAGTCAATGAAGCATCTATTCAAATTCCACTTAGGTCCTTTGTCTGACGTCAAGTTTTACACCTAGACTGCTACTGTAACTATTAATAGGTCGTAATAAAGACTCCTTTCCACCAGAGAGTCACTATTTTTACTTTATGTTTACCACTTAAGGAGATTTAAACTTATACAAAGCTAATGGGGATCCTTTATATGCCAGCTGTGATTCCCGACTATACTATTACCACGTGACAGTTAAACCAAATGCACAGAGCTAATCAGTAAACTCAGAAAGAAAAAATGTAACGGTAGAACAGGAAAATATGGCCACCAAAAATAAAACCACACGGTATAAAAGGTAGCCCAAAATGAAACCCAACGAGAATTCATTCTGCGTACGCACAATACTCTGGTATTAAGAGAAGGCCCTTCATAAAAATAGCCAGGACTCTCAAACATTTGACATGCCAGCTTAGTGAGATTGACAGACAACAGCTGTGGAGATTTTGTATTGATCTTGTAACATCCCAGCATACTTCGGGGGGGAAAAAGGGTGGATGGGGAAAACGGGGCATTATAATGACAAAAGTAAACTGTAAGAATTTTACTTTGTTATCAAGCCCCTACACTGAAAACTCCTACACCAAATTCCCTTACTCTCCAGTCCCTCTTCCATTTTTTTCTAACCCTACTCCACAGTAATGCCTTCTTTTTCCTCCCAGAGGAAACCCAAAAGAAAAAAGAAAACCTTGTGGTGGGGGGCGGGAGGGGACTGACACCACCTTCCTTCAAAATTACAGAATAACGAATATAGAAAAACTAGTCATCTCCCCACCTGTGTCCCTGAACCAGTCACATTTTTAAGTCTTACTTGAAAGTCTAGCTAGACCTCTCTGCTTTTCTTCCGTAATAGAGCTAAGGAGCCGCCCACTTCCCAGGCCGCAAAAATATTCCCCCGCCACATTTCAAGGTTTTCTAATTTTCTCTCTTCGATCCTAACCCTCTATTCAGTAACCTCCAACTCTTCAGAGACTATAAGACTGGATGGCCTAAAACCTAGTAAGGTGATTCCTAAAATTCCGCGACGTACCCCCCGCTCGGGGGATACGGGGAGGGGGGTCTGAGGAGCAGGCAGAAGCGCTCCCGCTCAGCCACGAGCGAGGGCGGGGGAGCGGGTGTGACCACACAATCCCACCGCCTCCTTTCACGACTCCTCCACCTCCCGGCGGCTCAGGCCTGCTCCCAAGGAGCTCACCGCCTCCAGGCAGCGACTCAGCTTCTCCTAGCCAGTCCACCAAGGGCCGCACTGGCTTCCAAGAAGGGGGTTCATAAGTAACAAAAAAAACAAGAGATGTCCTATGTGTTGTTTCAAAACATAACGGAGCCCGGGCCCCCGAGACCGTTAAACCGCGGGTGGAGGAGGGCGAAGCAAGGAGCCCAGCGGCCTTTAACTTAATCCTGGTCGCCCCTTTCGACCTCAGACCTCAATCTTCAAAACCGCCGACCCTCCCCCAAACGCACTCCAGCCCTCAGGAAACCCCACCGAGTGGCAAAAGGGTCAGTACCTTGTAGAAAGCCCCGTTGGAGCCGCGAACCTCCACCGTCAGCTCCGCCATGTTGGAACCGCAAAGGCCGCTGGGAAGAGATTCTAGAAACTTTCCAACCAGAGGGAAGGAGGGGGGAGGGGCACGAAAAAGGCGGGGGGAGGGGCGGGGGAGGACAGGCCCTGCACGGTGCGGATCAGGACCCCAGAGCTGCCGGGAGACCAGGGGCCGCGCGAGGAGGGGAATAGGAAAGAAGGACAGTGCTGGGAGGCGGGGGGAGGGGCGGGGAAAACAGGGCGGGGATGGGATATCCCGCAGCCCTGGGGTCTCAAGGCACTACCCCCGACTCTCCCAGTAGGATCCCTTAGCGCCTTACATCACCAGCTGCGGGCTCCGCCCGCTGTCGCCAACGCCCCGTAGTCTCCCGACACAATCGCCACGACCTTTGCTGACCCGCGCAGACGTCCCCGCCCCCCAGTGCCCGCTGCTTGCACCGCTCTAGCCCGCTGGTGTATCCCCGTCCCAGAAAGAACCTCCCAGACACGGCTTGTCCCACGCCTCTGCATTCCGCTTCCCTGGGACATCCAGCCCTTAAACTTACCAAGTGCTGAGACCTCTGGAGTAGCTTACTTATTCAGGGAAGATAAACTTTCAGCGCTCCACATACCCATTGGCACAACGTATCGGGAATACAGATGGCTAACAAAAATGTACATAGTACTGTGCTCAATTCTTTAGCCCCCTGCCCCTTTTAAAAAATCTGAGGCCTTTTCTGGACCGACTCAGATTCTACATTTCCACGCCCCCTTAGCAGTTCTGCCCTGCCCTCTCCCTGCTTGTTAACCACTTTAGCTGTTTAAAAGTGAAATGGTATTTTCAGTACAAGTTCCATATGGTCAAGGAGTTCTGGTGGTGTAGGGGTTAGGGCCTCCAACCCTAAAAGCTTCTAACCCTAAAGCTCGGTAGTTCAAACTCACCAGCTGCTCCGTGGCAGTCTGCGTCGGTAAACATTTACAGCCTTGGAAACCCAATGGGGGTGGCTACTGAGTCGGAATTGACTAGATGGCAGTGAGTTCAGTTTTTTGGATTTAGATGTGTTCAAATCCAGAGCGTGTTAGGTTAATACCTGATATCGGAGAAGTCAGAGAAACCCAGTGGATGGAGAGACAACGTTTTCCCCTGTTCCAACTGCTTGCAAAATCTCATAAATGAAATCAAAGGAGAACAACCGTGCGTAGCTCTACCAGAACCTGCTCTAATACTGGAAGCATTATCGCGGAGATATTTTTAATTTTTATTTTGACAACATCATAGTAAAACTTTTCCTCAAAGCAATGCGTTTGGAAAGAATATTGGAAGGACTTGTTTATGTGTGTGTTGTTATATTATCATTTTGAGAGAAAAATCCTGGCTTTATAAAAGGTTTCCTTACTAGCACTCTATGTTGTTGTTATGTGCCCTCCAGTCGGCCCTACTCATAGCGACCCCTCCTTGGGTTTCCGAGGTGATATCACTACGGAAGTAGGATTGCCCAACTTTCCCTCCGAGGAGTGGCTAGTGGGTTTGAACCGCCAGGCTTCTGATTAGCAGTCAAGTGCTTTAGCCATTATGCTACCAGAGCTCTTATATTTCCTAGGAAATGCACACTGCACGGCCTTTCTGGAGGAAGGCAGGACCTAAAAAAATGCACATACCATTTGATCACTTCTACATCTCCAAAGGTTCCCAAAAGAAACGGTGGCTTGGAAAATACTCACTGTTGTATTGGTATGTATGGGATGTGCTTTCAAAATATTGATCATGATGAGAAAAAAATACACATCAATGAGTAATAACCACTTTAAGGGGCTTCTTCTATCCAGCAATTTATATACCATCTGCTTATGATCCTCCAGAATTATAATGCCCTAGTTGTCTTATTTTAAAACAGCTTTATTGAAACATAATTCACATACCTTGTAATTCACCAATGTAACATGCCTAGTTCAATGGCTTCTACAGTGTTCACAGAATTGTGCAACCATCACCACAATCAGTTTTGGAATATTTTCATCATTCCAAGAAGAAATGCTTCTTCATTAACAGTCACTACCTGTTTTTCCCCAACCTTCCATGCCATAATCTTCTGTCTCTATAGATTTTCCTGCTCTGAGCATTTCATACGAATAATCATCCACTATGTAGTCTTTTGTGAGTGACTTCTTTCACTTAGCGTAATATTTTCAAAGTTCATCCTGTTGTAGCATATATCAGTAATTCATTTTTTTTATTGTTAAATAACCACATTTTATTTATCTATTCATCAATGGAAAGACTTTACACATTTTTGGCTATCAGGAAGAATGCTACTATGAATATTAGAAATAATGCTTCTATGAAATAAAAAATGTATGTTTTTATTTCTTTTGAGAATACACCTAGAAGTAGAATTGCTGGCACCTATTGTATTGCAAAAGTTGGAAACAAAGAAGAAAGATCTGTAGTTGGAAAATAAGGCCTTGGTGATGGAAACAACTCCAGAGATAGCATGATAGAATTTTGCAAGACAAATGACTTATTCACTGGAAATACCTTTTTTCAACAACATAAACAACGTGTATACACATGGGCCTTGCCAGACAGAATACACAGGAATAAAATCAATTCCATTTGTGGAAAGAGACAATAGAGAAGCTTAATATCATCAGTCAGAACAAAGCCAAGAGCTGACTGTGGAACAGACAGACCATCAATTCTTTGTATGTAAATTCAAGTTGAAGCTGAAGAAAGGTAAAACCAGTTCACAAGAGACAAAAGTATATTGATTATAATTTGATTATATCCCATCTGAATTTATAGACCATCTGAAAAATAGATTTGGTGCACTGAACACTAATGACCTAAGACCAGACGAGTTCTGTGATGATATCAAGAATATCATACGTGAGGAAAGCAGAAGATCATTTAAAAAGGCAGGAAAGAAAGAAAAGACCAAAACAGAGACTCTGAAACTTGCTCTTAAATGGAGAGTAGCTGAAGCGAATGGCAGAAATGATGAAGTAAAAGAGCTGAACAGAACATTTCAAAGGGCAGCTCAAGAAGACAAAGTATTATAAGGAAATCTGCAAAGACAAAGCATTAGGAACCCAAAAGGAAAGAACATGCCCAGCATTTCTCAAGCTGAGAGAACTGAGGAAAAAAGCTTCAAGTTGCAACATTGAAAGAGTCTATGGGTAAAATATTGAATGAAGTGGGAAGCATCCAAACAGATTGGAAAGAATACACAGAGTCATTGTGTCAAAAAGAATTGGTCAACATGCAGCCATTTCAGGATGTAGCACATGATCAAGAACTGATGATATTGAAGGAAAAAGTCCAAGCTGCACTGAAGGCATTGGCAAAAAACAAGGCTCCAGAAACCGTTGGAATACCAGTTGAGATGTTTCAACAAATAGATGCAATGTTAGAAGCACTGACTTGTCTATGCCAAAAAATTTGTTGAGATTATTTTATTAATTAATTTAAAAAAAATTGTAATTGTCATTTGGGTGAAAGTTTACAGAGAAAATTATTTTTGTATTGAACAATTCATACACATTTTGCTTTGTGACATTCATTGCAATCCCCACAATATAATAGCACCCTTCCCAATTCCTACATGTGTTTACATTTCGCTGCATCCTTCTTTCCTATCCCTCCCTGCCTTCTTAGCTTTATCCTTTGGCAAGCATCATCCTTTTGATCTCATATGGTTGGTTGACTGTTCCAATAAGTGTTTCCTCCCTCATGTTATTGTTCACCTTATAGACCTATTGTTTGGCTGAAAGTTGAGGCATTGAGTGAATTCAGTTCCAGGACTTAAGGGTGTCATAGGGGCCATAGTCTCAGGAGTTCTACCAATCTCTATTAGACTAGTAAGCCTGATCTTTTATATGATTTTGAGTTCTGTTCCACATTTTTCTCCCACTCTATCCAGGACCTCCTTTTTTTTTTTTTTTTTTTTTTTTCCTCTTATGTCTTCCTTTTCCTTAGTGATATTGG